TCCAGCCACTTGCCCAGAGGTTCCGGGACACTTCGAGGTTCCGCCCACGCGTGGCTGTGTGTCCTGCATCTGGCTGTTTCCTGGGTTCAGCCCTGGGTGATTCTCCTACACCAAGGCCCTGGGTGGGAGGGTGCCCGCGTGGGCGTCCCACTGCAGCGTGGCCCCACCAGCGTCGGACCCACCGCGCTGCCCCTTGTGCCTGAACCGTGCCCTGTCCCTGGAGCAAGACCTGGGAGCTCTGGACAAGCCACGGGCCCTCGAGGCCCAGCACCTGCACCAGGAGCCGGGGCGGGCCGGGCCCTGGGAGCTGAGATTCAATTACACGGCCAGGCCAGGCCCCGGGCCCCGGGTGGGATTAATGCTAGCGCTGCTCTGGTTAAGACGTTCTGTGTCGATAAATAATTCATAGGCAGTTAGCGCTGCGAGTCTGACAGCACGAGAATGTGTTAATACAGTCGACTCCGCCACAGGTCAGCCGCGGGCGCAGGGCTGGGCCGGGCCATCGTTTATTCATTCTGTGACACAGGCCCATTAACTCTCCTGGCCCCGCGGGCAGTGGGGAGCCGCGAACGAGGGGAGGGAGGCCTGGCCCCTGAGCATAGGAGGCCCCACGAGGCCCTGGGGTGGCGACTGTTGGCCGTCCCCACGCACTTGTTGACTCATCACAGCAGCCAGCGCTCCTCAGGCCACAGGCCCGAAGGTTGAGGACCCAGAACTCTCTCCTGGCAGCTGCGGGGGAGGCCCTGGGGACAGGAGAGGTTAGAGGGGGTCAGAGCAGAGTGCGTGGAGGAGCCAGAGCCAGAGCAGCGGTACACGGGCCCAGGCGGACCCTGCCCATCACAAGCGTGTGACTTGAGTGCACATGTCTGTGCATGTGTGTTGTCACAGTCACAGTGGGTCTCGGGCCTGTGGAGACACAGAGACGTCAGGTTTGCCTTGGGAGTGACGTGGGGCACGGACCAGGGCTCGGGGAACGGCGGGCAGGCTGCCCACTGGCAGCGGACGTGCTCATGGGCTGGCGGGCACACCCCCTCTCCCCCCCGCCTGGGGACTGAGGGCCAAGGGCTGAGGGGTCAGGCCGTTAGGGGAAGCCCCTGATCAGGCCGAGGCAGCCCTCGTCCTCGCTGGCCCACCTGTGACAGGTCCCGTGCGTGGGTTTCCGCTGCGGGTTTCGCTGGCGGAGGTGCCTGTGCTGGGCCCTCAGCTCGCTCACGGAGTGATCAGTGCTCTGTCTGCTTTGAAGACTAAACACCCACAGAAAGTGAATTGGCCGAGTGAGCCAGGGCTCGCAGGACCCTCCTGGGGTTCTGCATAACTAATTGGGCGCAGCCTCGACTTCCCGCTCCGAGGGGCCGGGCCCTTGGGGCGACACCCGGGCCTCAGTCCCCTCCCAGCCACCACGCAGGAGTCGCTGTGTGGTGCCCGACAGCTGCCTCAGTCCCCCATTGTAAGCCAGGGAGTCCGCGGTGGTTCCCCCCAGCGGGACGCCGGGGCCCTGTCTCCTGCCCCTCATGCCAGCCACACAGGCCCGGGCTGGCACCGGGCAGAGCCCGGACCCAGGATGAAGCGGCCTTTCAACGCGGCCCCTCTGGCTGCTCCCAGCCCCGGCCCCTGCTGAGCCGCTCAGGTGGCCGCTGCCCCGCAGCCCTCGGACGCTCGTGGACAGGGCACCCGGGGAGGTGTTTTCAGCCACGTCACTCACTCGACGGGAGCGTGTCCTAATTGCAGTTGCTGGGAAGAGCTTTCCTACTTTATGTCCTTTTGGGGGAATTGCTGTGGCTTCTAGAACAGTCTTGCTCTTTAAAGTGCTGCTGACTGACGAGAAACAGGTTTGTTTATCACGGTCTTTCCTCACCCGCTGCACTAGTAACATGGGCAGTGTCGACTCAGCACAGCTTCGGGGCGAGCAGGTGGGCACCCCGAC